TTCCCATGTGTTTATTTTTTTTTATTTGTCTTTTATTATTCATATGTGCATACAAGGCTTGGTTCATTTCTCCCCCCTGCCCCCACCCCCTCCCTTACCACCCACTCCACCCCCTCCCGCTCCCCCCCTCAATACCCAGCAGAAACTATTTTGCCCTTATCTCTAATTTTGTTGTAGAGAGAGTATAAGCAATAATAGGAAGGAACAAGGGGTTTTGCTGGTTGAGATAAGGATAGCTATACAGGGCATTGACTCACATTGATTTCCTGTGCGTGGGTGTTACCTTCTAGGTTAATTCTTTTTGATCTCACCTTTTCTCTAGTTCCTGGTCCCCTTTTCCTATTGGCCTCAGTTGCTTTAAGGTATCTGCTTTAGTTTCTCTGCATTAAGGGCAACAAATGCTAGCTAGTTTTTTAGGTGTCTTACCTATCCTCACCCCTCCCTTGTGTGCTCTCGCTTTTATCATGTGCTCATAGTCCAATCCCCTTGTTGTGTTTGCCCTTGATCTAATGTCCACATATGAGGGAGAACATACGATTTTTGGTCTTTTGAGCCAGGCTAACCTCACTCAGAATGATGTTCTCCAATTCCATCCATTTACCAGCGAATGATAACATTTCGTTCTTCTTCATGGCTGCATAAAATTCCATTGTGTATAGATACCACATTTTCTTAATCCATTCGTCAGTGCTGGGGCATCTTGGCTGTTTCCATAACTTGGCTATTGTGAATAGTGCCGCAATAAACATGGACGTGCAGGTGCCTCTGGAGTAACAGTCTTTTGGGTATATCCCCAAGAGTGGTATTGCTGGATCAAATGGTAGATCGATGTCCAGCTTTTTAAGTAGCCTCCAAATTTTTTTCCAGAGTGGTTGTACTAGTCTACATTAATTTGAACCCATTCTTGATACCTCTTCCTTTATCCCCAACCATGTCTTGTCACCAAGTCCTAGTTGCAGTGTCCCTAAAGCACTTCTGTCACTTATTCTCTCTTTCTTCTCCACCAAATTGGCAGCCTTGTGTGAAATGAAAGAGCCCAGGCCTCCTTCCTCCATTGAAATGATGAGCCAAGTATTCGCAGACAGGATATTTCTTGCAAAATAAATGCAGTGTTATATGCAAGTATGTTCATTATAAAATTGGCTTAAAATTTTGGAAGAAAATGTAAATCATTGCCATTAAAATAAATAAAACATCTGTAGAGTGTCATGTAAGCAATGCAACTTCCTGGTGTATGGTTCAACATGAAGTCTGTTAAAAATATGTAAAGAGCCTGGGTAATATGCACCTGTAGTCTCAGTTACTCAGGAGGCAGAGCCCTGGGTTCAAGGATGAGTCCAGGAGTTTAAGGATAGCCTGGGCAACATAGTGAAACCCCATATACTCTGCCTTCAAAAAACAACATAAAAGAAACTGAATGAAATATAAAAATAGTTAAAAGTTGGGAAACTTGTGCTAAAAATGGTAGTAGTTGTTTTTGTTTTAGAATACAAGTTCTGAGTCCCTTATTTAATATCCTTGGGAGAAGCTTTGTTTTGGAATTTAGGTTTTTTTCTCATTAGAACAAGGTGAATAAACCATGTGTTATATAATACCTCCTGTGGGATATGTAGTACCACCCCATAAGCATATTAATTTTTCTGTAACAAGATACGTGAATATCTGCACTAGGTCAAATTGGATTTTGCCATCAAAAAATTATGAGGACTGGGGTGTGTGGCTCTAATGGTAGAGTACTTGACTAGCAAGTGGAAAGCCCAAGTTCAATCCCTAGTTCTGCCAAAAAAAAAAAAAAGTGTTATGATATAACTTAGTTTTCAAAGCTTTTTGGAGTTTGGATTTCTGGTTAAGGTATTGTAAAACTGTTGATAGTTTGTACCTCTTCTTTCTAGTAATAAGTAGTACATCTAGTCCAGATTCTTTTTAGGGCACTCGCAGATCATGGTGTTAAAAGTGATATCTTCAACATATACAAGACAGCTCATTTCTATGTTAAATGTAGCAAGAGGGTATGTATCAAGTGGAATCTAAAACTGATGCCACAAAGGTTTGCTTTTAGTTTTAAAGGGTCATCTGAGAGTTTAATTACATTTCACTATGAAGGAGATAATTTAAAATGTAGAATGGTATACTTTAAAGTGAATCTAGGTTTCTTCTTTAGCTTATAGAAATTAATAACTGGAAGGAACACTAAGAGTCTTATTTTGCTCATATTATGGAGATTCCAGTGATCTGTAGAAAGGTCACGAAGGCAAGAGGACCTCCTCTTCTCCCCATTTTCTAACTCCAAGGTAAATGGTGTTTATACATCACACAGCTTCTTTATCAGAGGTAGTTAATATAATACAGGACTGTGGAAAAAGTTCTATTAACAGAAGAAAAGCAACAGAGTGCAGGAATCCTGCCCTCAAAGGAGTAGAGCAAAGACCTTCAAGTTCCACTGTAGAGAAATATCCTCAGAGAGAACCCCATGATTAGGCAATTTGATACAAATTTAAAATATAAAGTAATGAAAGAATGTAAGAAAGTTTAAATGCTATTTGAATGGTTGAGACAAGAATTACAGATTTTATGGAGTGGCAACCTTAAGGATATTAGAATTTTTTTCCTTTTTCTGTATGAATACATAATTCAAAAATGTTAGATTAAATGGAGTTGGTAACTATCACCCTTATTTACATAGCTGAGAGTAAAACTTTACAACATAAACTTCTCACATTGAACTGCAATATTCCTTTTTAGTGATGTTTTCTTAACAGTCATTTCTCTTTTTCTCATTGATCTATTTGAGTTTTTGGCAGACATGTCTTCTTGGAAGAAGTCAAACATATTAAACATCACTAAAACAAAATGAAGCTTAGCGTGGTAGTATGCACCTTTAATCCCAAATTTAGGAGGCTGAGGCAGGAGAAGCACCAGTTCCAGGCCCTGTATTGGGAGACCCTGTTTCAAAACAAAATAAAGCAAATCTATAAATACATTGATAAAGAAAAATGTCTATGAAATAGTACGTTAGTTTTCTATTGCTGCTGTAACATTGCTACAAACGTTTTGGCCTAAAAATAATACAGATTTATTATTTTAGAATTCTGTAAGTTAAAAATCTGATTCAGGTCATTCTAGGCTAAAATCAAGGTTATCAGCATGACTGTATTTTTCTTTAGTCTTCGGGAGAGAATTCTTTTCCTTATTTTTTTTTCTAGTTTCTAGATGCCACCCACATTTGTTGTCTTATGGCTGCCTTCCTCCACTTCGAAAGATAGCAGTATAGCATCTTTTTGACCCAACTTCCCTTATCATATCTCTTTCACTATCTCTTTCTGCCACCCTCTTCCACTTTGATGAACTCTTGTGAGTACCTTGGGTCCACCTGGACAACCAGAGTCATCTTCCCTTTCTTCAGGTCAGCTGATTTATACCATGTAACCTAACATTCACAGTTAGGACCTGGACATCTATGGGCACCATGTTTCTGCCTACTGTATATGACAAGTAAAAACAAGAAAAGTGCAAAGTAGTTTATAAACTTTTAATTTGATTTGGGTTTTAAAAAAGTGAGTGTAGTGATAAATATAGAGTAAGTTATAATCAACTTTAATAAAACTCTTCAAAAATCTGACACTAAAAGAATATTAATGGCTTTATTTACTTTACCAAAAGAATCTCTCTCTCTCTCTCTCTCTCTCTCTCTCTCAATTGGTGATAGTAGCCCAAGGCTGGCCTTGAACTCTCAATTCCTCGCCTTAGCCTCAGGAGGGCTGGCTGTGCACCACCACCATGCTTGGCTTTGAACATTTTTGATTGTCAGGCAGGAGGGCAAAATTCAGTTTACTTATGGTAAACCCATTGTGAGAAATAAGGTTGTACTTCCGTGTCCTCCCAAAGGAATTCTCTGGCTTCCGCTGGATATTGTTGAAATTCCATCAAGGTTACAACAACTCCTTGATCACTGACAGATAAGCACAGAATAGATCTGACTTCAGATTTTCACTGTACACCACAAAATGCACATTTTTTAGAGCTAATTACTATCATGCATAAAGCATAGTAGCACTCAGTGATGCTGTTTATTAAATAGCATTAAATTTATTCAGATTTATCTTTTGTTTGCCTGGTATTCTTCATTCAACCCTGAATGATTCCAAATCTCTCTAAAATAAGCATTAGGTAGAAAGTAATTTCCTCCAGATATACAGATGGGAAGCAGAAGGAATTCACAGGCAACCTGGAGTAACCAGGTGGATCCTAGATCACTCCTGCTGGGATGGGCTGTTTTTAGAGCACACTGACCATGTCATTTGTGAAAAATCACAAATTTGGCCCCAGTATTTTTATGGTCCATATTTTTATGAGTTTTGGTGCCCTTAAAGCTACAAATTTCTGACTTAAACTGAATTTAGCACTTCTTTTTAAGATTTTTTTTTATTAAGAATGAGTTTCTAAATGGTAAATCATGATATTCCATTGAATGGTGGGTTTTTTTTGGCAGTAGTGGAGTTTGAACTCAGGGCTTCATGCTTGCTAAGCATGCACTCTCCCACTTGAGCCACTCCTCTAGCCCCCCACCCACCCCTTTTTTGAGGCAGGGTATAGCTCAGGCCAGCCTTGATATCTCAATCCTCCTACCTCTGCCTCCGGAGTGCTGAGATTACACATGTTTCACCTTACTCTGTTCTCTCCATGTCTGGCTTTTGAATGGTAGATTTTAAAACAGCTAATTTAAGATTCAGACTTTAACCCTTTGGATTATAAAGCATATTAGCTTTGAATTGAAGTTGATTTGAGGGAAGATACTACTAAGAAGTTCTAATAAGTGGAAAACTTTCTATTTTAATGATGTAACTTTTGTGCATTACTAAAAAATGTAAATCGAAATTACTTGAATCTGGTCCATTACTGAGATTTTAGAAAGTTTTTCTTAATTGATATAAAAGTCTTCATGTACTTTAAAAGCATGTTAAAAGTAACCTTACTATGTATGTAATTTTTGTGCTTTGCAGATTGAGCCACCTTCTTTATAATTAAAAAGAAGCAAAAAAATCCATTGCCTGGAACAGTACAGCTAAATTGAAAGGTAGCTTTTTCTTCTTTGACATTACCCTTGATGGTCAACTGGCATTTTTATAAGCTCAGTGGGCAGGCTCAGTCTAGATATTTGGCTTTGGTGGGTAGAATGTGAAATACTTTAAATACTTTCTCTGTGTATTTGTAGTCCGATGAATATACATTTGTTAGAGGCCTGCCTTTTTCTTTCTTTCTTTTCTTAATCTGGGGGATAAAATAGGAATGCATTCTTTCACTGATCTTTGTGCTTACTTTGTGTTTTCCCATTTAGGTCTTAATATACCTTTTGCAAAGAGAGAGTGGTTTGGTGATGGAGTGTTCCCACTGACCGATGGACTCAAAGAAGAAAAGGTAAAATCATTTCCTTCTTGGAAAACAGTAGACAACTCCACATGGGTCTAACTGTTCTTCAGTTTAAATTTCTTTTTGGTGGTGGTTAAGTGAGAATACATAGTAATATTTGTTGTTGATTAGTAAAGAAAAAAATTATTTAAATAAAGCAGAACAATGATAAGCTTTGTTGTTAGTTTCTTACGCTTATAAAGACACTAAATGTCTTCATCTCATTATCTTAAAGCTCTTGTAGCAATTTTTTTCTCACAAATAATTTCAGGTTTCAGAGGTAGCCTTGCTCTTTACTTACTATAATAGTCTATCCTTAGAAAGAGAAGATATTTAAACGTAAGGTTAAACTCGTGACTTCACTTCCATAGAACTATGGTTATGCCCAGTTATATATAATTTAAGAAAATATGGTTCAGAAAAAGTAGAAAAATTAGAAAACATTTCTGGTGCCCCACTAAAATTTTAGCATCTTTGTTCTAGAAAAAAAAAAGAAAAACCAAAAACAACCCCTCCATGTGTGACATATAGTACAACTTTGTAAAGGCAACCTAGAATGTCTTAATGTGCCCTTTTCATAGAAGGGGAGACAGGTTATGGTCATAATCATGCAGTTGTGTGTTTTCTATTCTGATGACCTCAAGTTATCAGTTGGATAGAATTCAGTAAAGGACGAAGGATTTTACTGTTTATCTGTTAGAAGTTTGATTCTTAAAAAAAAAAATCAAAATAGGCTTGGAGGTGTGGCTTAAGTATGACAGTGCCTGCCAAGAAGCATGAGGCCCTCAGTTCAACTCTTAATACTGAAAAAAAAGTTTAAAAAAATCAAAATAATGAAAAATGGTATAGAGGATTCTCAAAAAACTAGAAATAGAACTTTTATATGATCCACTAGTCCCACTATAGAGTGTATATACAAAAGAAATAAAATCAGCATATTGAAGAGACTTCTGTGTTCATATGGCTATTGCAGTTCTCTTCACAATAACCAAGACACAGAATCAACTTAAGTGTCTATTGATATATGAATGGATAAAGAAAAGTGGCATATATACACAGTGGACCACATTCAGCCATAAAAAGAATGCAGTCTTGTTATTTGCAGCAACATGGTTGGACATTTTGTTAAGTGAAATAAGTCAGGCCCATAAAAACAAATACCACATGTTCTCACTTATACGTGGGAACTAAAAAACTGATTTGTAAAAGTAGAGAATAGAAAAGTGGTTAACAGAGGTCGGGAAGGGTGAGGGGAAAGAGAGGGAGGGAAAGAGGATGGTTAACAAGTACAGGGGTGCAATCAGATAGAAATAACTTAGAGTATTCTGTTGCACAGTAGGATAATTATGAATGACAACAAATCTATATTTCAAAATAACTAGTAGAGAGAATATTGAATATGATATTTTGAAATGATAAATGTTTGAGGTGATGAATATGTAAGTTACCCTGATCTGATCATCTGATCATTACACATTGTATACATGTATTGAAATATCACATTGTAACCCATGAATATGTACAATTATGTGTCAATTATAAATAAAATATTTAAATAGTTATAGATTTAAAGTAGCATAGGTGAAATTACAGATTTCTGATTTCATATCTTTCTCATCAAATACCTTTTACTAGTTAAACAGATTTTAAAATAGGACTTCAATTTGGGTTATGATATAACTTTAATATTTAAACAAGATGATAATGTATTAAGAAGTTGACTCTTGAATTTTATGCTTGCAAATCATAGAACTTCTAAAAACAGCCCAGGTTTTATTTACTGCTTAGAGATAAATAATTTGTGGGTTTAGATTATCCTCCAGCCTTTTTTATAGTTATTTTATCTTGATTCTTGTGGCATAACCAAAGCATAAAGTAAGTGCTCGTTAAGTTATGTGACCTAGTTATCTACATGCTGGTACAAGGTACAATCTGATGAAAGGTATTAAAAACAAAAGATGCAAGTTTGAATTGTAGGAACAATTAAACTTTAAAAAAAAATTTGTTTATAGCTCATCAGAGGCAGAAGGATCCAAAGAAAGAGGCCTGGTCCATGTCTGGCAGGCAGGATCCTTTTCCCTAGCACCAGATAGGTTGCCAGGCTGGGGAGGAAAGACTGTTCTTCAAGCAGCCCTTGGAGTGAAACATGGAGTTCTTCTGACTGAAGGTATAAAAAGAATGACGTAACAAATGCTAACTACAATGCTAATAAATGTCCTAGTGTGCAAGATTAGGTAAAAGAGTTATTGGATACCAAGGGTGCTTCTTTTTTTTTTTGGTGAAGGGACTGGGTTTTGAACTCATGGCTTTATGCTTGCACTCCACTTCTTGAGTCTCCAGTCCATTTTGTGCTGGTTATTTTGGAGATGGAATCTCTCAAACTGTTTGCCCAGGCTGGCCTCGAACTTCATTTCTCCTGTACTCAGCCTGCAAGTAGCTAGGATTATAGGCATGAGCCATTGGCATCTGGCCTGGGAGTTCTTACTGAACCCTTTGTTTTCAGAATATATCCTTAGTCCTTGATCGGAAATCACACTATTTCTTAAATTTAGGATACTCCATTAACTAGAATAAAAGGGAGAAATACAGTTTTTAAATTGTATAGTATTAAATACATAGAAAATTAATTTTGTAAAAAGATTTCCTATTTAGAGATTCTTTTGCTATAGCTTTTATTCATTAAGTATATCAGAAAAATGATGTTAATAATAGCTAATTATTACACACAGTTGTGTGCCAGGACTAACACTAAGCATTTCTCCCAGGTAGCTCATTGAATCCTTCCCTTATATATGTAGCTATTGTTATTATTCACAGGTAAGGAAACTGAGGGTCAGGGAAGTTAAATAATTGTCCCTAGCACACACAGTTATTAAAAGTGTCAGAGTCAGGATTGGAATTCAGTTTGATTTCAAAGCCTCCTTTTTTGTTTTTTGTTTTGTTTTGTTTTGTTTTCATTACTGGGAATCAAATCCAGGGCCTCATGCATGCTATGTAAGCTGTCTCCTATTGAGCTGCATTCTCAAGCCTCAAAGTCTGCTTTTTAAGCCACTTAGCCAATACTATCTCAGTGTAGTTTTTCTCAGGCATAATTAGCAGCTCACAAGAGCATATGCAATTAAACCTATGTGTCTAAACTGGAAACATATCATGTAGTTTATATGGAGAGTGGCCTTTAATCTTGATAGTGTTATCAACTCTGTCATGGCAATTTGGGCCAGGATTGCCATTGACTTCACTAATTTGTGAATTTCTTCTCAATAAGCATATCTTAAGTACAATAATGCTTTGCTTTTTCCTGTCTAAGGAAGAAAAACTGTAGGAAACAAAGCTTAAATCTGGCTTTAGAGGCTTTTTTGGGGGTAAGCATGGATTTCCTTCTAACCTATTATCACTTTTATTATAATAATACCTAATATTGTATTATTCAAGACCTTGAGAAAAGCACTATTTAAAAAATATGAGCTACATTCAATACCTGCACTATAGGTTTCAAAATATATAGTATACCTGGACACAAACAAGTTATTGTCATTAATGTGTTCCCATCTCACTGGTACCTTTCATTTTAATTCTAAAGCTTGTCAGTCATTTGTTAGTGTCTTTCTTCTTCTTCTTCTTTTTTTTTTTTTTTGCTTTGTTTATACTGTTGTAATGACTTGCTTTTTAAACAAATTTCATTTCAGGAAGCTATTTAGTATATACTACATATATGTGTATATATATATATATATATATATATATATACCATTTTAAAATCACATGTAATATAATATTTGTGGTTTGGTGTTTTTTTTTTTTTTGCACACTGGGGCTTGAACTCAGGACCTTCACCTTGAACCACTCTGCCAGCCCTTTTTGTGTTAAGTATTTTCCCGATAGGGTCTCGCGGTCTATTTGCCTAGGCTGGCTTCAAAATGCAATCCTCCTGATCTCTGCCTCCTGAGTAGCTAGGATTACAGATGTGAGCCACCAGCACCCAATCTGTTTGTGTCTTATTAAACATTGGTGCTTTCTATACAACCTTTAGACATAAAACAAGCTTCATAGTTTTGGCAAAAATGAATCTCATGTTTTTATTGCATGTTTTCTGCTGTTTTGACTTGTGGAATAGTAGTGAATGTTGTAGACATTAGTGAATGTGTCTCTTATCATCTGCTTATTTTATCTTAACATAGTTATGAGTCTGTCTTTGAGTGCTTGGAAGCTACTCTTGTAGCAGCCTGTGATGCTAGCTGTAAGTAGTAGTTCCAAGCTAGCAGTTTTTAGGATGAAGCTGAAGGAAAGAGTAGTACCCTTCATTTGAAGGTAACCTCCCGCAACTTGTAAATTCTTATTATAGTATAGAATGTTAAAAGATGTTATTTGTGCAGAGTGTGATGGTACATGCCTGTAATACCAGCTTCTCTGGAGGCAGAGATCAGAGGTTTGAGATTGGAAGTGGGCCATAGGCAAAAACCAGGAGATCTTATCTGAAAAGTAAACTAAAGCAAACTGGGTATATGGTTCAAGTGGTAGAGCATAAGGTCCTGAATTTCATCTCCAGTTTTGGGGAAAAAAATGTTATTTGTTAAAAGATGAATAAATGTGAAATAATGGATGCTTGAACCAAATGTCTACAACTGAGCTTTTGAAGTTATAAAAAGAAATCCTGTTTTGTTAAATTAGAGGAGACTAGACATTTATTGAGAAAATTTGTAGTCAATTCACTAACCCTCTCTCTTTTTTTAAACCTTTAGATGGTGAGGTCTACAGCTTTGGGACCCTTCCCTGGAGAAATGAACCAGCAGAAGTTTGTCCAAGTAGCCCCATTCTAGAAAATGCCCTCGTTGGGCATCATGTTGTTACTGTGGCAACAGGGAGCTTCCACAATGGAGCAGTGACAGACGCTGGCATAGTGTACATGTGGGGGGAGAATTCTGCAGGCCAGTGTGCAGTAGCAAACCAGCAGTATGTGCCAGAACCGAATCCCATCAGCATTTCTGACTCTGAGACCAGTCCTTTGTTAGCAGTCAGGATTTTGCAGTTGGCATGTGGCGAGGAGCACACACTGGCATTGTCAATAAGCAGAGAGATTTGGGCATGGGGTACCGGTTGTCAGTTGGGTCTCATTACCAGTACCTTCCCAGTGACCAAGCCACAAAAGATAGAACACCTTGCTGGGCGAGTGGTGCTACAAGTTGCCTGTGGTGCTTTCCACAGCCTAGCCCTTGTGCAGTGCCTCCCTTCCCAGGATCTGAAGCCAGTCCCCGAAAGATGCAACCAGTGTAGCCAGCTCCTAATTACTATGACTGACAAAGAAGACCATGTGATCATATCAGATAGTCATTGTTGCCCTTTAGGTGTGACCCTGTCAGAATCCCAGGCAGAAAATGTCACCACTATCATCAGCCCCTCCATTGAGACCCTTGACAGTCAGGGAGAAGTTTTTGAAAGCACTCTTGTAGAAACTGGTCTGCCTGTTGCCACTGAACTGAACGTGGGAAGTGTTCAGAGCACAAGTGGCGATGCCATTTCCTCCCAACAAAACATCACAGGAACAACTGAAATTTCTTCTGTCAGAAACATATCATCACACCCTGACACCCAGGCAGTAAATGAATACTTGCAGAAACTGTCAGATCATTCAATAAGGGAGGACTCAGAGAATGGTGAGAAGCCAATGTCATCTCAGGTACCTGCTAAATTTTATAACATTAAGATATTTCTGGAATTGAACTATATGCACTTTCCTTTAGAAACTTCAAAATGCTAAGGATTGGTGGCATTTTTTATTTTGTGAGTTTGACTGCAATTCTGTTTTATTAGACAAGCCTAGGTAAGGGAAGAACCTGAACTGATTCAGAATCACTCTGGTTCAAGTTCTGGCCCTTTATGATTTAGAAAGATGTCATGCTAGGTTTGTTTTAGGCATAGCCAAATCCTGTTTGTTTTTTTCTTGGCTAGTGTTTTTCTTCCATGGCTAAGGTACTGAATTTGGTGGGCCCCTGAATAGTTTATTCTAATATAAGTACACATTCATGAAATTTTTCCAAACTGCATTTATGCCACTCTTCCAAGTTCCAAGGAAAAAAGCCCTTTGCTTCTTTAACAGGGAAGATTCCTTCAGTTGTAGGCAGGTGCAAAGAAACTCTACAGAGCCAGTCTCCGGTGGCTGAGTAGCTAGGATTACTAGCTACTCAGGAGGCAGAGATCAGGAAGATCATGGTTTGAAGCCAGTCCGGGCAAATAGTTCTGCAAGACCTTATCTTGAAAAACCCTTCACAAAAAAAGGGCTGGTGGAGTGGCTCAAGGTAAAGGCCCTGAGTTCAAGTCCCAGTACTGCAAAAAAGAAAGAAACTTTATGGGCTTTATGTGGTACTTGAGGTTGTTTTTAGTTGTTAACTGTGATCCTTACTGGGCTTTATTTAAAGTAATGGGAGTGGCTAATATTTTCTTTATCTTATTTAAACTTCTCATTTTGAAAACTTGTGGTAACATGGACAAAAACTGATGTTTACTTGGTGGCATGCAATAAAGTTCGAGTCTCCTTGCTTAAAACAAATTGTTCTAAAAGGATAATTCCTGATATTTATGTAGTGTTGCCTTTTCATTTTGTTTTTATGAAAATTCTAAGATTAAGAAAACAAAACAACAAAAGCATCTAGTCATAAAAAACTGTCAGTGGAGTTTTTTCAGGCTTTTAAAACCGTAGTCTCTTGATTCTTACTGTTTAGTCTGTCAGAATGAGAAGATGGAGATATTTTTAGAAATAGTCTTTTATATTATAATCTAATCACTGAACCTTGCTGATAATTTCATTTTTTAAAAATTAGGAATAAGCTGTTTGGAGAAAAATAGTACAAAGCTAAAGCAAAGTAATAATTTAATGAGTATGTATGTGGAAAATTTTTGTGACTGTACATGTTATAGAAAAGTTTGATTTTCATAACAGAAATCAAATGTAGTGGCACATGCCTGTACTCTCAAGCACGCAGGAGGCTGAGGTTGGAAGGTCATGAGTTTGAGGCCATCCTGAGCTACATAGCAAGACCCTGTCACAGAAACTAACAAAACCCAACCAAACAAAAAGCATGACTTTTTTTTTCTGTTTTTATTATATTCATATGTGCATTCAATGTTTGGGTCATTTCTTCCCCCCTTCCCCCCGCTCCCTTCCTTACCCCCCCAACCCCTCGCTACCAGGCAGAAACTATTTTGCCCTTATCTCTAGTTTTGTTGAAGAGAGAATACAAGCCATAATAGGAAGGACCAAGGGTTTTTGCTAGTTGAGATAAGGATAGCTACACAGGGAGTTGACTCAGATTGCTTTCCTGTACATGTGTGTTACCTTCTAAGTTAATTCTCCTCAAACTAACCTTTTCTCTAGTTCCTGGTCCCCTTCACCTATTGGCCTCAGTTGCTTTAAAGTATCTGCTTTAGTTTCTCTGTGTTGAGGGCAACAAATGCTATCTAGTTTTTTGGGTGTCTTACCTATCTGCATACCTTCCTTGTGTGCTCTCACTTTATCATGTGATCAAAGTCCAATCCCCTTGTTGTGTTTGCCCTTGATCTAATGTCCGCATATGAGGGAGAACATACAATTTTTGATCTTTTGGGCCAGGCTAACCTCACTCAGAATGATGTTCTCCAGTTCCATCCATTTACTTGTGAATGATAAGATTTCATTCTTCTTCATGGCTGCATAAAATTCCGTTGTGTATAAATACCACATTTTCTTAATCCATTCATCAGTAGTGGAGCATCTTGGCTGTTTCCTTAACTTGGCTATTGTGAATACTGCTGCAATAAACATGGGTGTGCAGGTGCCTCTGGAGTAACCTGTATCACATTCTTTTGGATATATCCCCAAGAGTGGTATTGCTGGATCAAATGGTAGATCAATGTTTAGCTTTTTAAGTAGCCTCTAAACTTCTTTCCAGAGTGGTTGTACTAGTTTACAACCCAGCACTGTAAGAGGGTTCCTTCCCCTGCACCCCCCCCCCCCCCCCCCCCCCCCCCCCCCCCCGCATCCTTGCCAACAGCTGTTGTTAGTGGTGTTGCTAATGATGGCTATTCTAACAGGGGTGAGGTGGAATCTTAGTGTGGTTTTAATTTGCATTTCCTTTATTGCTAGGGATGGTGAGCATTTTTTCATGTGTTTTTTGGCCATTTGTCACCCTATACCAATATTAACTCAAAATGGATCAAGGATCTTAATGTCAGACCACAAACTCTAAAGTTGATACAGGAAAGAGTAGGAAATACTCTGGAGTTAGTAGGTATAGGTAAGAACTTTCTCAACGAAACCCCAGCAGCACAGCAACTAAGAGATAGCATAGATAAATGGGACTTCATAAAACTAAAAAGCTTCTGCTCATCAAAAGAAATGGTCTCTAAACTGAACAGAACACCCACAGAGTGGGAGAAAATATTTGCCAGCTACACATCAGACAAAGGACTGATAACCAGAAAATATAGGGAACTTAAAAAACTAAATTCTCCCAAAACTAATGAACCAATAAAGAAATGGGCAAGTGAACTAAACAACTTTCTCAAAAAGCATGACTTTTTAAAAGTCATTCCTCCAACTTGGTTCCGCTCCTGCCCTTCATGCTGGAATTAAACCAGGGCCCTGAGAATGATAGGCAGATATTCTACCACTGAGCTATATCCCCAGCTCTCATTCCTTCAGCTTAATGAATTTAAAAGTTTTTTTGTATATAGCTCATTTGGCTATTACTATTCAAATTGCATTTTCCTTTGAACTTATTTTGGTGTAGTTAAAGTGCTGATTTCTTATGTTAGCTTTGCCAGTATGTGTTCCTGTTAAATTTAATTTATTCTTTGTAAATAACATTTCAGTCATACAGCCAGCTCATAAGGAATTTATATGGTTTAGGACAATTATTTTTCTTTTGGCCAGATGTACTGAAAGTGTCTCACTTTTGAGAAATAAACCATAATATTATTGGTTGACTGGGACTCCTAAAATTCTCTTTTATCAAAATTGCTGGTCATGTATATTTTTCTGTTTTGTTTTTGTTTTATTACCATATTCATTCAGTGTAGTTAAGTACATTGAGATTTACATAAGGTTTACATAAGGTCGAATTTTGTGGCTTTCCTCTACCTAATGATAAGAACCCTTTAAAGGAGTCTTTTCAGATACCATCATCACTTCTGTTATGAACCTTCATAAACAAAGGGTGGAAATCACCATCTTAATTCTGAACAAGTTATGAGAACTGAATCACCAGAGAACCTTTGTATTTATCTTTAAGACTATTCATTGGCACAGAAATAGCTCTTCTGAATTTAATATTTAATTCAACAAAATATATTGTATACCTACTATGGGTCAGACTCTATTCTAAGGACCAGAAATTATTTCCTTTAAGAAAGTCAGAGCCAATGTTAAAAAAAAATTGGTTTGTTTTTTAACTCAGGACAAATTAAGGAATGTGTGTATATCCTTGGTATCTTTGGGTAGAATAAGAAGCAAAGTTTTCATTGTAACTATTGTTATATGCCAAAAGCATTTTTGTGTGTGTTGGGTATATTTAGTGACTTTCCCTTTTACTAAATAGTAGTGTTTCATAGCTTAAATTTCAACCTGTTTTTCACTAGATAATAGAAAACTTTAGTTTAACTTTCTTATATACCTGTTGAATACACTAAAAACATTAGTTTCAGATGTTTAATTATTAACCTGTCACATTTACCCTCTATGGTTACCAGAGCAAAGGTAATCCTTCAGTTTGTCTAGCTTGTGGTTCTTGGAAAACAATTCATTGATGAAACAGCAAAAAGACTTGAACTTGAGAATATAATTTGGGAAATGATAGGTCAGAAATATAACTTATTTTTTTTGCCTATATGTCTTATATCAAAATTTGTATTTATTAAACATTTTAGGAAATGCCTTTTCTTCTTAAAATCTGTTTTTTTTTTTCCTGCTATTTATTAGTAGCAATCTGCAAAAGTTTTCCTAAAAGTGATCAGTAATCAAGCTTGGATTCTTCCATCCTTTTACTCAGACTGTTTCAGTGTACCTTGTTTTGAAACAAGTGTTTTTCATTTCCCCTCCCCCCCCCAGCCCCTTTTCTTTTGCTTAATTTTCTAAAATCAGATACAAGTGATTTTTTTTGTTGTTTGTTTGTTTGTTTTTTAATTTTTCTGTGTTGGGGATGAACCCAGGGCCTTGGGGATGAACCCAGGGCCTCATGCATGCTAGATAAACATTCTTATCACTGAGCCACATCTACAGCTTATGGTTAAATATCATTGAAAAGCATGACCCCCCAAACAAGAGGAAGTACTTTTGGTAAGGAACCGTATTTTGAGTACCATTTCCATATAATCTGTTAACTCTGAACAAGAGGGGATGCCATTAGGTTAGAGAAGAAGACTTCTGTTTCAGATTTCTTTTTTGAGACAGGGTCTCATTCCAGGCTGGCTGGAACTTGTGATACTCCTTCCTCAGCCTTCTGAATGCTGGGTTATAGGAGTGTGCCACCACCATGCCTGCTCTGTATTAAATTCTTATGTGCAAATAGTGGTGAATGTTAAACTTTCTTTTTATTGACTACTTATATTATAAGGGATTATGTCTTCACATACTTTTATGTGTGTCTGTTTTAGCCTCTTGTAGAAGAAGCAGCTCCTAATCTTCACAGCCCACCAACCACAAGCACATCAGCTCTCAACAGCTTGGTGGTCTCCTGTGCATCTGCTGTTGGTGTGAGAGTGGCTGCTACATATGAAGCTGGGGCCTTATCTCTTAAAAAAGTTATGAACTTTTATAGTATGCCCCCTTGTGAAACTGGAGTTCAGGCAGGCAGTAGTTCTGGAGGCCCAGAAGGTCTGAAAGATAGCAGAGAAGAACAGGTTAAACAGGAGTCGATGCAAGGAAAGAAAAGTTCAAGTCTTGTGGATATCAGAGAGGAAGAATCAGAGGGAGGCAGTCGAAGACTTTCCCTCCCTGGATTGTTGTCACAAGGTAAGGCTTTGGTGAGTTGACTTCTGATGAACCTTAGATGCTCTCAATATCACATACTATATTATAATAAATTAGGAGTTTAATATTAATACTCATAGAATCAGCAAACCAATGTTAATTCATTTATATAAATTTTAAATTATTTTTATTAGTATTAATTAGTTAATAGTATTATTTAATAAATTAGTATTAATTAATAAGGAATTAGTATTCCTAATTATTGAAGTTGACATATGCAAATGTCAAAATTTATTCAATGGTGGTTTATTATAAAGGTGGTTTTAGAAGAAAGCCACTTATTTCTTTGCTTTAAAATAACTATGCAACATCTTTCTTTAAAATTTATCCTGCCACTAAATTGGTACACAAGATTTACACAGTTGTATATAAATGAACATTATAAAATATGGCAGCATTCTTTCAAAAGATTATTTAACTTCTCTGTAATAATTCCAAATGTGCAGACAAAATACAAAAGCTTTTAAATACTTCCCTTGCATAAGCTTTTTTTCCATCATAGAAATTTAAAGTTTTGTATCTTAAAATGAATCCTTTATTACAACTATTCATTATATATTTGAACTTAGACCTTGGCTTGGAAAGGCTTCAATTTATTTATTTATTTATTTATTTATTTATTTTGGTGGTACTGGGATTTGAACTCAGGGCCTCATGTTTGCTAAGCAGGTACTCTACCACTTGAGGGAAAGGCTCAGTTTTTAACTTTGCTTTGAAGTGGGAAAAATATTTGTCAGCCTTAGTGTAGTACTTTGTTCAGTATATTCTTTAGAATATAAGTTCTGCAGGATATCACTAGATGTTATACAGAGAAGGATTCTGTGGCTAAGTGCTTGGCAGTGCAGCTGAGTTAAATTTAAACAGGGCCTTTTATTGCAGGACTTGTCAGCATTTTCTATATGGCAATGTGTATGAGTCTCTGCAGGGGAGAGAGTGGAAGAAAAAGATGTGGTATATTTTGACGATTATATTTACTAAGCTCATTTGACTGTTATATCCCCTCTTTTTCAGAGAACCTATAGAATGTGCTTCAGAAATACCATGTTAGTGAATTTCTTTAAAAATCTTCAGATATAAAATTGTATCTTCTCCTCCACTCTCTACTCTTGTCTCTCCATCCCTGGTTTGTTTTCAGTTTCCCCAAGGCTTTTAAGAAAGGCTGCACGGGTGAAAACGAGAACAGTGGTTCTGACCCCCACATACAGTGGAGAAGCAGATGCGCTCCTGCCATCTCTAAGAACAGAGGTGTGGACCTGGGGCAAAGGGAAGGAGGGGCAGCTGGGACATGGCGATGTGCTGCCTAGGTAAGTGCACCCAGGATTACTGCCAGGAATTGGTGGAAACAAATAATCTTTCCTGTGCAGCTCTCTACATGTCCATTTCCCTGTAGAAAAAATCTGGCTCCAGATTATTATGCACCTTTAACTTCGATAAAAAGCTAACATTTCATTCTTCAATTTGTTCCTATCAGTAAAGGACTTAAGTGTCTAGGCTGTGCTTTTCCATGTTTTGTTTGGTGTATTTTCATCTTGAAAAACAAATACTGTTGGGGATATGATGGTATTCATTGAAATGTTTGAATGGTTAAAATTTTAATTTATGCCAGGCATGGCAGCATATATAATCTCACTTAAGGCAGAGGCAGAGGACAGTGAGTTTGAGGTCAGCCAGGGGTACATAGCAAGACTTGGTGTCACAAAACCAAAAAGAGAAAGAAAAAAAGAGTCAATAGGGATTTTTTCTTCCCTCCCTCCCTTCCTTCCTTCTTTTTTTTTAACCCCAATATGTGTCTGTGCCACTGTCAAAATAATGTAACTATAACCTTTTTTTTTGGGTGGGGAAGGTGTCGGTTACTGGAGTTTGAGTTTGAACTCAGAACTTTGCACTTGTAAGGCAGGCACTCTACCACTTGATCCACATCTCCAGCCCCAAAATAACTGTAACCAAAACATTAAACTCTGTCTATGTACATTGGAGAAAAAATTCATTTTGTTTACTATTACAAATTAGATATTTGTGAAACTTGAAGTAAACTTATTTAAATGGAGCAGTTATGTAAAGAAGGGATTAATGTAAATCTCTGTTCTTAGCAGAGTGAAGACAACTTAAAAAAATTTACCTTACTCTCCTCTATTGTTACATTTTATTGTGTCATCAATATACTTTTGCTATAATGAATAATTTTTAGTTTTATGATCCTCAGCAAATTCTGAATTATGGGGGTTAATTAGTGATTGATAGACAAACATTGAATTAAAAATCTTCCAAAAATTATTTATAATATTTAGGAGTAGTTTGAACATTCATCCATTATTTTATTTTAATGTTTTGTTTTTAACTTGAAAGCAGTGACTATAATTTGAGAAAGTCCATGATTCGTGCTGAGAATACTTTGTGTATGGGCTTGTCTTTCTTTAAGGCTCCAACCATTATGTGTCAAGTGTCTCGATGGCAAAGAAGTAATCCATCTGGAGGCAGGCAGTTACCATTCTCTTGCACTTACTGCAAAATCACAGGTAAGAGGCAAAGTTTAAAATGCTGAAACTGCACCAGCATTTGCTAAGTCTCTGCTGTGTCATTTGAGCTTTTAAGTGCTTTATATAGTGCTATTTCCATTTTACAGATGAAGAAAGTGGGCTAGGAAAAACATGTAAATTGTCTGAAGTCACATGTCTGATAGTAGAGCTTGGATATAACACTAATCTGCCTAAGAAGCTTTCTATATTTCCTCTCATCTAAAAACAGAATCCAGAGTTTTAAGGGTATTAATTAATTTTTATGGGTTTTTTTTCCCTGTATTGGGTTTGAACTCAGGACCTTGCGCTTGGTAGGCAGGCACTCTACCACTTGAGCCACTTCAGCAGCTCTTTTTTTGTGTTGGGTATTTTTGCATGGGCTGGCCTTGAAACAAGATCCTCCTGACCTCTACCTTCTGAGTAGCTTGGATTACAGGTGTGAGCCACCAGCACACAACAAGAAACTGTTTTAAGTTACTTTTTTTTTTGGTGGTATGAGGTTTGAACTTAGAGTCTCATGCTTGCTAGGCAGATACTCTACCAGTTGAGCCACTCTGCCAGCCTCTAAGTTATTCATAAATACATTCACACAATGATTTTTCACTAGTTCTTTTAGCTTTTATTTATGTGAGATAGTATCTCCCTGTGTAGCCCAAGCTGACCTCAAACTCTTGATCCTCCTTCCTAATGCTGGGATCACAGGTATGTACCACCATGCCAGTCTCTTCCTTTAGCTTTGAAATTAGCCAATAAGGTTTTCTAAGTCCTTTAAATATTTCATTTCATTTTAAGCTTCACACGTCAGGCTAGCCAAGAAAATCTAACATAAATATTAATTTTAGGGAAAAAAAGAGAATTTATTGTTGGTAATATGATTCATTCAAATGACTTAGGAGTCATTTGGAGTTAGGAAATAGTCATCTACAAAATGTACAAAAATTGCTGGCTTTTTAATATACATACAGAAACTATACTTGAGGAAAAAGAGCTGTTGACAATTATAACAAACATTTTAATAGGAATAACCTAATAGGAAGTTCATAGAGCCTATATGACATAAATTCTAGAACTCTTTTAAAAGGTCATAAAAGAAATCAGGAATTGGCTGATAGAGTGGTTCGAACAGTAGAGCACCTGCTTAGCAAATTGAGGCCCTGAGTTTAAACCCCAGTGCCATCAAAAGAAAAGAAAGAAAGAATACAGGAATAAAAGAAGATTTTACTTTTGGATGACAAGTATTAGTATTACAGAATATTATAATGTTTACAACTTGATAAAGTGATCCCAAAATTCTCCTGGGAAAATGAACATAGGTAAACCAGGTGAATTCTGGCAAAGAATAGGAAGAATCAGATTTATCCTTATAAAATGTATTATAGGGACTGAAGGTGAAGTGTAGTGGTAGAGTGCTTGCCTACTGTGCAAAGAATCATGATTACCTTTTCTTTTTAGTACTCAGCTTTATTTTTTCATCACTTTCTTTTAGAGGCAGTATAGGATAAGTCTTGGGATTAAATTGTGGCTCCACCACTTCTAAATTTGTGAACTGAGGTAAATTAATTAACCTATGGACCAGTGTCCTTATTTTTTTTTTAAAAGGTATTATTGAAGGAATTAAACAGTACACACAAAGTGGGACAAACAGTGCTTGGCAGCCAGTTAACACCTGAAAAACGTTAGTTATTGTTAACCTCTGGATTCTGTGTCTTCTGGCTCTGTGTGCTCTGTCTGTCCTATGTTGTCAGTCTTGCTTAATAATGATTACAGTCACATGCCTATAATCGCAGTACTTGGGAAGTAGAGGCAAGAGGATTGTGAGTTCCAGACCAATGTGGGCTATGTAGTGAGACCTTATCTCAAAAAATAAGAAAAGAAAAATTTTAATATCTGCTATTTGGTTTTATGAGACTTTTTCTTTTTGCAGTACTGGGGTTTGAAGTCAGGGCCTCCCACTTGCTAGGCAGGTACTCTAACACTTGAGCCATGCCTCCAGTAGTTTTTTTTTTTTCAGATGGGATCTCACTGTGTAGCCCAGGCTGGCTTCCAACTCTCAGTCCTTGTCTGAGCCTCCCAATTGCTGGGGTTATAGGCATGCATCACCATACCTGGCTTAATAACCTGTTAAAGAGTGAAAGTCTAACATGAATAATCTATGTGTAACTAGTGGTATATATGTTATTATACAGTTTTAGAGTTGACATGCCAAGATCAAATTCATATCTCTTAACCTACTTTCCTGTGGTTTTCTGTTAGGTTTACTCATGGGGTAGCAATACCTTTGGTCAACTTGGTCATTCTGATTTTCCAACAACAGTTCCTCGACTTGCAAAGGTACTTTTGTAATTTAGTAGCAGTTTATTTTTAAATTCTAAGCTATAACACTTTATAGTTCACATCTTACTTAAAAATATTAGGGTAATTGTATGTATGTTTGTAACATAAATTTATTTTGATGTTCTTAAAAAATTTTTTTTAATTTTATTTTTTGGAGGTACTGGGGTTTAAACTCAGAGCCTCACACTTGCTAGGTAGGTGCTGTACCACTTGAGCCACACTTCCAGCCCCTTAAATTTTTTTTTTTAAATATGAAGCTATTTCTTTTCAAGCTAAATATACTTTGTAAAAATGTGTTAGTTTTTATTTCTTAGCCTTAACTATTGACTGAATATTTATAGTACCCTTGTCTTTTTTTAAGCAAAAAAATAAAGTATTTCTTGTAAAACAAATGTTTTTAGGAATGTGATATTTTTGAACTGTATACCATCAAACAATGTCTAGTCTGACTTCTAAATTAAACTTGACTGTTATAAACTATTATTTTATGGTGTCGTTTACATATTTTATGCACAACAGTAAACCTTCCTGTGAGCCTTTTCATTGTCTATAGTGAAGCTGAAAGTATGGGTGGCTTTTTTACTGTTGTCTGAATTGGTTTTAGTTTATGTAATACTGTTGAGAGACTGGTAATTTCTAATCTGTTTATGTAATTCTGGAGCAGTGTTTTTTAACCGTTTTTATTTGCACCCTGAGGAAACAATAGTAAATTACATTGGTTCCTTTTCGAAGAGTTTTAAGGGCAGGGTAGTGTGTACGTGGAGCATAACAAAATGGGATATGGAGCTTGTGCTTACACAGTTTGATTCTGATGCCTCCCTCATCCCAAAACAGACCCCTCTATGAGAATAATAGAGACCGAAAAAGATTGGTTACTTCAATTTTAGGAACACAATTCAAGTGTAGTCAGCAGTATTCCAGTCATTGATATATCATATGTGCACCATATATTCACCACTATCTAAGACTGTTACCTGCTGCCTTTCATTTCAGTGAACTTAATTTTACTGGGAAGAAAAAACTTAACCAACCATGAGGTAATTCTGGCTTCAATATTAGTTTCAGCATGAAGCATTTCAATAGTATGCCATCCAGCTTCTGTTACTTTATCACAAAGCAAATCATTATTCCATTTTTAAGGGAATTAAAAAATTTTTATTTATTTAAATTTTATTTATTATTTATTTGTTTAAATAAAGTAAAAAGTACACTTACTCATACTAAAGAAAGATTTGTAGTATAGCATTGGAGACCTGGAAATCAAGCATTTATTTAAAGCTTTAGAGAAGAGAGAATATAATTTATTATAAGGTTAGTTTCATAACTCTTTAATTGTCCATACAAAAACTTATAGCATCAAGATTTTGTTTTTTAATTTGGGGAAGGTCACAAATTATTTTGTCGTGTGTGTGTGTGTGTGTGTGTGTGTGTGTGTGTGGTGCTGTGGATTGAAACTAGGGCCTGTGTATGCTATGTAAATGCTCTAACCACAGATTTATATCTCTAGCTCTGGTATAAGTACTTTTTGAAGTCATTCTAATTAACCTGTGAAAATTAAAAGTCAGAAAACAGATTTGAATTAGCTTTGATAAGAGATTTGGAAGATGACTCTTGCTGGGAGTGGTGGTACATGCCTTTAATCCTAGCACTTGGAAAGAAGAGGCAGGAGGATTGTGTATTTGAGTCCATCCTGAGCTACATAGTGAGATAGGGAGACTCTAGCTCAAAAAACAGAGGGGGAAAGGGAAGGAGAAAAGGGGATGGGGAGGGAGAGAGAGGGGAAGGGAAAGAGGGAAGGGACAAAGAAGTCACTCTTTTCCTTTGAAAATTTTAATTCATTCAGAAGTCAGTTATTTGGATGGCTTCAATTTGAGAAGAGATCATCATGCCAGAAGATAGCTGTAAAGTAGTGGAGATGTGTGCACACACAATCACCTATTATTTGGAGCTTATCTAGACACCAAGGAGCTAACTTGATGAGGGCTTTTTGCTTATCAGCATAGGAGTCAAGGCTGAAGCTAGGTCTGGAGGTTGGGGTAGTAGTTTTGCAGCAGTACACTTTCTTCAAATGAAATCTTGTGAGGAATCTTATGTATGAACAGATTAATGTGGACCTGCTGTAGTTGAAGAATTGGAAGGTATCTGGAGCCCTGGTACCTGCCTTTCTGTGATATCTCCTGAATCACTATGTGGATCCCTAAGGTTTGAAAATCATTGGTTTAAAGCAGTGGTTCTCAAGATTTTGCATATATCAGAATCACCTGGAGGGCTTGTTAAAACAGAGCGCTAGATCCTACCCTTTGGTAACTCTGGGGCCTGAGAGTTTGCATTTCTAACATGTTTCCAGGTGATGGCTGCTGCTGCTGCTGCAAAGACCACTCTTTGAGAACCACTGGTCTAGGTCCACGTAGATGGGCTTCTCAGGGGTCCTGCCTGTTTCAACATCCTGGGAGTTGGCACAGTGAAGTCACATCAGAGAGGTAGTGAGTTACAAGTGGGAAACTCAATTTTAGCACCCAAGGGTTTAGTTGGCGAGAATGAAATTTAGCCTTATTAGTTCTTTTTGGTTTTTCCTTCATTTTTGTGCACACAGCTGAAATGTGGATGGACAAAGGTACATCCTAGTTGTCATTTTAAGAGTAGAGCTGTAGACATTTCTGGGCTTCTTGATTGTAATATAGGCTGTTTGTGGGGAGTTCCAAAAATAACATAAAAATTTAGATGTATGGTTTTTCCTTTTTAAACTCCATTTTTATAAAAATAATCCAGTTCCAAATTAAAAAGTTGAACATGGGATTTCTTTTTACTCTTACACTGGGTACATTACTGGGTGTGTTTCCTCTCTTGAGATATGACTGACCACCACGCCTACTTAAGTAACACAGCATTTCAGTTCCTGTGGATCTGAAGTTCTCCCTGATTGCCTTCATCTTTGACAGACAGTATCTTTTCTGTCGTTACAGGTAAGCAGTGAAAATGGAATCTGGAATATAGCTGCGGGCCAGGATTATTCCCTGTTTTTAGTGGATACAGAAGACTTCCAGCCTGGGTTGTATTACAGCGGCCGACAGGACCCAGCAGAAGGTGACAGTCTTCCGGAGAATCCCAGTGGTTCTAAGACTCCAGTACTTCTCTCCTGTAGTAAGGTGAACAGGAATTGGATCCTAAGGCCCACAATCTGTAACACATGAGAAGTCTTTGATTTTGTTGTTACTTGTATGAATGCCTGACTGTTAAGTACTCTGACTCTTTACTTAAAATTGCAAACCCATTCCCATTCCTTCACTCCTTATCTCCTTTTTTTTTTCTCATGAGACTGGGGTTTGAGGTTTGAACTCACGGTTTGAATTCAGCAGGTTCTCTAAAGCTTGAGCCACACTCCAGTTCTCATCTCCTTTTCTTGCCTATTCTCTTCATAGTGCCCATTACCATTTAATTTACAGCTCAGATTATAATGAAAGTTTCCTGGGGGCCCTGGGTTCTAACTACACCAGCCTGATTTCAGCTAACTACCTAGCCTGTTCTCTCATTTATAGCATATATCTTTTTTGTTTATTTGAGACAGTGTCTTTCATCGTAGCCCAGGCTAGCCCAGGCTTGCTATGTAGTTAAGGCTGGCCTCGAACTCTCAATTCTTTTGCCTCCAAAGTACTGAGTTACAGGCACGTATCACCAAGCACAGCATAGTATATACTTTGTAAATATTTGTTCAGTTAAATACCCTCATGCAGAAATTATTTATTTATTTATTTATTTATTTATTCTTTTTCTCATGTAGGAATATTGAAAAGCACTTTTCACAGTGAAGTTTCCTGACTGTTTCATGGATCTCTCAGAATAGAAGCAGGGTAGATAGATTTCTAAAGTGGGAGTAAAAATTACAGTGATCTGAGATCAGCTCATGGCAGACCATGAAAACCCAACACACCACCAAGGCTCTGGGTTTTTTTTTTTTTATCGCTTCCCTTGTTCTCTAGTTTCTCATTTTATTTCCTACTGTTTATTTCCTTTCTTTTCTTTTGAAGATCTGAATTTTGGTCTCCTTTTCTACTTTCTGTTTATTTTTAATAAACTTAAACCATGGGTTTGTTTCTGTTTCTTATCCCTCACATTTAAATAACTCAACATCCTAAAGGAGATGTGAGAATTTAACCCACTGTGATAGTACATTCTGGATTTCTTCTTATTCTTATTGAAAAAAATATATCTTAGGGGCTGTTTTGTTTTGGTTTTTTGTCTTTGTTTTTCTGGCTAGTAAGTTATGAATGTATTAGAATAAGGCCTTTATTGTTAAAAGCAACAGTGGCCAAGATTTGGCTCTTGACCTGTATATATCTTGTTGTTTTAGGCATGCTGACTGGTTCTTTGTGGTTGTTGTCCCTGGCTCCACATTCCCTGTGAATAATTCTACAGTTTAGATAAAGGATAAAATAGGCTGATGAAAAGGGTGAGGTTCTGGCATATATCACTTGTTATCTTGGAATGTTAGTAGTCTATTGAGTCTACTATACCTTGCCTGCTGGCTTAATAAGAATATGTGAATAAAGACATTGAGTGTTTTTGTTCATGGTATCATGGGCAAATTAGAAAAAAGTACCATTTAGAGAAAATCCTCCCTTCTTTTCTTTTCTCTCTCTTTTTTTGGGCAGTACTGGGGCTTGAACTTAAGGCTTCATGCTTGCTAGGCAGGCGCTCTACCACTTGAGCCACTCTGCCAGCCCTCTTTTCTTTCTTTCTTTCTTTCCTTTTTTTTTTTTGGAGACAGGGTCTCCCTATACAACTCAGGCTGGACTGGAATTTGCTCAGTATTCCAGGCTGGCCTTGAATTCAAGCCATCCTTCAGCCTGGAAGTGCAGGCCCAGCCATGGAAATTCTTTTTTCTGATAAGTATTTTATTTGATTAGTGCAGACTAATTGTACATATTTATGGAGTACAGTATGACATTTCATTATATATATACAGTGTGTAATGATAAGATAGGGTAGCTGGTGAATTATCACATCAGACATCATTCTTTGTGTTAAGAACATTAAAAATCCTTTTCTTCTAGCTATTTTGAGATCTTCAATTAATTCTTGTCAAACATAGTTATCCTGCCATATATACAGAACATTAGAAGTTATTCTTTCTATTAACCACCTCTTTCCTTCCTTCCGTTCTTCACACTCTTCCCAGGACCTAGTAACCACTAGTCTAATTTTCTGGTTTTATGAGCTAATCTTTCTTAGTTTCCACATATAAGTGACAGCATGCTTTTTAAAATATATCTTTCTGTGCTTATTATTTAATATAATGTCTTCCAGTTCCACCCATATTACTGCAAATGATAGTATTTCATTCTTCTTAATGGTTAAATAGTATTCCATTGTGAACTGGGTATTGGTGGCTCACACTTATAATCCTTGCTACTTGGGATGATCATGGTTCCAGGTCAGCCTAGGCTAAAAAGTTAGCAAGACCCATCTCAACAGAAAAAATGTTGGGCATAGTGGAGTTCGCCTGTCATCCCAGTGATGGTGAAAGGTGTAAAAATAAGAGGATCTGGTCCAGGTTGGCCTGGGAAAACAAAGTGTGCTGTCTCTAAAATAACCAGCTGGAGGTGTTGCTTAAGTGGTAGAGTGCCTGCCTAGCAAGCATGAAACCCTGAGTTTGAACCTCAGTACCAACAAACAAAAAAAGACATTATGTGTATGAACCATATTTCCTTTATCCATTCATCTGTCATTGGACACTAGGTTAATTTCATATCTTGTCTATGGTGAATAACACCATAAAAACATGTAAGTTCAGATTTTTCTTTGACATACTGATTTCCTTTACTTGGGAAATATATTTAGAGTGAAATTGCTGGATCATAAGATAATTGTATGTTTTTTGAGGAATTTTTTACACTGTTTTCTGTAATGGCTCTAATTTACAGTCTCACTAACAGTATCTGAGTTTCCCTTTTCTTTATATCCTCACCAGCATTTTTTGTTGTTGTTGTTATTTGGATAATATCCATTCTGAAATGAGATATTTCCTTTTTTTGGTGGTACTGAGGTTTGAACTCAAGGCCTTGCATTTGTTAGGCTTTGCATTCGTTAACTTCTCTACCACTTGAGCCACTCCTCCAGCCCTTATTGTGGTTTTTATTTGTATAAATAGTGATGTTGAGAGCATTTTTTCATATGACAGGTGTGCACCACCACACCCAACATTTTTTCAGTTGGGATGGTGTCTCACAAACTGCTTTGCCTGAACTGGCCTGGAACCATGATTCTCCCTATCTCAACCTCCCACTTAGGTTGGGATGACAGGCACGAGCCACTGCACCTAGCAATTGGTTGAGGTGGGGTCTCAAGAAGTATCATTGTTTCTACACACACCCCCACACACCTTTGCTGGCCTGAAACTTTGATCCTCCTGATCTCAGCCTCCCAAATAGCTAGGATCATAGGTGTGAGCCACTGGCATCTAGCTTGATTTCCACTTTTTTGATTGGATTATTTTTTTATTTATTTTATTTGAATTTATTTTTCATTTCTTTTTTGTTTTTCATTTATTCATATGTGCATACAATGTTTGGGTAATTTCTCCCCCCATTCCCTGCCCCTTCCGTTTCCCCCTGCCCCCTCCCTCTCTCCCCCCACCCCCTTGCTTGGAGGCAGAAACTATTTTGCCCTTATCTCTAATTTTGTTGAAGAGAGAGCATAAACAATATACTTTCATTGCTTTCATGTACATATGTGTTACATTCTAAGTTGATTCTTCTCAAACTGACCTTTTCTCTAGTTCCTGGTCCCCTTCTAATTGGATTATTTTTTGTTGTTGGCATTGTTACTGGATTTTGTTTTTTAGTTCCTTATATACTCTTGGTATTAATCAAATGTTGTCTAAATAGTATGCAGATATTTCCCCACATTCTATAAGTTGTCTCTTTGCTTTATTGTTTGTTTCTCTTCCTATGCAGAAGCTCTTTAGTTTGTTTCTTTTCCTATGCAGAAGCTCTTTAGTTTGATACAATCCCATCTGTTTTTCCTGTCATTGCTTATGGCTTTTGGGGATCACAGCCGAAAAAACCTTTGCTCAGACCAGTATCCTGAAGCATTTCCCTTATGTTTTCTTAAAGAAAATCTCTGTATGGTACTTTTAAGAGGCAAGGTAACTCCTAGACCTTTGATACTTTTATAAAACAGCGTAGGGCTCCTTTCTATTCTTATTAATCTTATTTCATGCAAAAGACAGTCCTGAGATATGTAACTCTTATGGTTTGGACTTTTACATATCTAGGGTGTTTGTGGTTCTAATCATTAGTAAAGTGAAATAAAATGTATCTTGGAGATAGGAATTTGTAGCTACACCTATGTAACATGTTGTAAACCACTGTAAATTACCATTGTAAGTGGTAAACCAGCTATAAAACAAATAAAGAAAAAAGGCCTTGATCTATAGTATTTATAAATTTTCACTATGGCCAATTTCAGGCTTCCAGTGGTTTAATAACCTGCTTATAAAATACCTGAATATTTGACCATTGACTCTTGTCAGGTGATATGAGCCAGCTGTACCATGCCAAGTTGCTGCTCGTAATTGTTTTGTCTTTAATCTTTTTGTTTTCCTCTTTTTCAGCTTGGATATATAAGCAGAATAACAGCAGGAAAAGATAGCTATTTAGCTTTGGTGGACAAAAACATTATGGGGTATATTGCCAGTCTCCATGAGTTGGCTACAACAGAAAGACGGTTCTATTCAAAACTAAGTAATATCAAATCTCAGATACTCAGGCCTCTTCTCAGTTTAGGTAAGTTGATACCTCCCCAACCCCCCACTCTCAAACCATCAGGTCTCTTGTTTTATCTGTTCTTCCTGTGTCATAAATAAAGCAGTTTTTTTTTTTTTAATATTTCCCAGACTGATCCTCTTAGCTCAGCCTCTCCAGATGGGAATACAAGTATGTGTCACTGCATCTGGCTTTAGGAAAGCCATTTGTGTTATGGCTTATTCCTTTCTTTCCATTTTCTCTCTCTCTTTATACATAGAAATCAACAACTCAGCAAACTGTTTGCAGTTTGTGATTAGCCCAGCAGTCCCTCCCCTATTCTGCTGTCCCAGAGCTGCTTCTATTTGTGCAAATAGAAGCTAGAACTTTTAGAATATTAATGACAGAGAAGCAGAAACAACTTTGAGGAAGTTGGTCCTAGAAACTAGACTTCCAAACAACACTTCTACCCCACTAGTCCTTAGATATCTTCCCATTATACCCTCTGAATGTTCATTTTCTTTGTCACATCTCTTAGAATTATACCAAGTGGAGAATCATTTGGATTTGCAAGTCATCTCTTAAGGGTTTTATTCCACATTGGCACAAGTTGACGAAATCTGTACTTTTCTTGACTTAGCTTCAAAGAGGGATGGGAAGTAAAGCAGTGCTACAGAGGAATGGGTTACCAAAGTACTTAGGAGATACCACTGTGCAGATATAGGTACCCGGAGTCTCTAGGACATTAGAAAAGAATGACAAGTAGAAATTGGGGAGATTGTTGAAGATAACTCTCCCCTTATTTTCAAAAATTTTTCTAGGTTTGGCCCTGAACTCAGAAAATAGAGGAGTTTTCTTTTTCTTTCTGTCTCACTCCCTGGTCCCCTTTTATTTTTATTCATATTTTTTTTTCCATGGGACTGGAGTTAGAATTCAGGGCTCCACACTTGTAAAGCAGGCACTTTGCTGCTTGAGCCACACTTCCTGTCCATTTTGCTCTGGTTATTTTTTGGAGATGGAGTCTTACAAATTGTTTGCCCAGGCTAGCTCAAACCTCAGTCCTTCCAATCTCAGCCTCCCAGGTAGGTAGGATTACTGACATGAGTCACTGGCACCCAGCCCCCAGCCCCTTTTAGGAGCCAGAATCTAAATTAATGCTCTAGTACATCAGTTTTCCACATTATGTAAGGCATCATTAGCTTATGAGGATGAGCCCATTTGTTGTAATGGAAAAACATCTACTTTTCAAACAAGTAATTTACAGTCCTTGTGAACACAATGTCTGTGTAAGTTGGGGACTGTCTACATTGCTTATTTTTAGTATATTTTGCTTTTGCTTTTTAAAGTGATGTATAGTCCTTATTCTGTAAATTCTCCTCCTTAGGGTGGGCCCACCACTAGGACTTAGACAAAGAAAAGGAAGCCACCCAAAATGGAAGCTTCCTGGAATTGCTCTGGAGGAAAGAGGAGCTGGCCTTCCCCTGATAGGCTTCCCGATTTCTGTTTGGTCTTACCTGGTCTACTCATTGCTTTGTTCCTTAGAAGGAAGTTCTGGAGATGAGGAACTTTGGATTGGGAAAGGCAGATAATCTGCTGATAGTTCTATAACTTTCAGGGGGATCTAGGCATCTGATTTTTGGATTGCTCTCTCTGCACTGAAGAGGTGGGTTTGTCCAAGGACAAGCAGAGCAAAAGTCAGTACAGAAAGTTAAAAATGTTAACTTAAGAGTGAGTTTAATTCCTGACTCCCACTAATTATATGAAATTAAAATTTTCTATTTTGAACTTTTTTTTTTCTTTTCCCAACACTGGGGTTTGAACTCAGGGCCTCATGCTTGCTATGGTAGGCAGGCACTCTTACTGCTTGAGCCTCTTCATCAGCCCAGATTACTTAATTTCTTTTTTGGGGTCAGTACAGGGTGGGGGGGATTTGAACTCAGGGCCTCTTGCTTGCTAGGCAGGTGCTCTACCACTTGAGTTATATCCCTAGCTCTTTTTGCTCTTTTGGTTATTTTGTGATAGGATCTTGTGTTTATGCTTAGGCCAGCCTAGACTTCAATCCTCCTAACACTTCCTGTGCAACTGGGCCCACACCTAGCTTTTTATTGATTAAGATGGGGTCTCTAACTTTTTGCCTCGGCTGACCTCAAATCACAATCCTCCCAATCTCTGCCTAGCTAGGATTACATGTGTGAGCCTCTGCACTTGGTTTAGATTACTTAATTTTAAAATTTAAGGAGTATTAGCTCAGTGGGTCACAAATTTGGGTGATCTTCAAAAATCACTGGGGAGTTTTTTTTAAATGGTTCATTCTGGGATCTTAATATTGGATCTACTGAGTCAGAAGCATACAGGTCCTGTGAATGTGTTTTTAGCATATTTCTCAGGTGACCAGACTCCATGAGCTCTGAAGTTGTTCTTTGTAACAGTTTCTATAATTATTTTGAGTGAGAATACATGGCAACAGGTTAAGTATTCTTAGGCAAGAGGATTTGATAGCCGAGTGCTGGTGGCTCACACCTGTAATCCTAGCTGCCTGGGAGGCAGAGATCAAGAGGATCATGGCTTGAAGCAGCTCGGGCAAATAGATCTCAAGACCCTATCTCAAAAATACACAACACAAAACACAGGGCTGGTGGAGTGGCTTTAAGTGGTAGAGTGCATGCCTAGCAAGAATGAGGCCCGGAGTTCAAACCCCAGTACTGCCAAAAAAAAAAGAAAAAGAGGAATTCATAATCTTGACTATAAGAAAGTATTTAGTCTTTATATTTCATCATTGTGGTTTTTTTCTTACAGAAAATTTGGGTACTGTGACTACAGTCCATTTATTACAGGAGGTGGCAAGCCGATTCAGCAAGCTGTGTTACCTAATTGGTCAGCATGGAGCCTCACTGAGCAGCTTCCTTCAAGGAATAAAAGAAGCCAGGAGTTTGGTCATTCTGAAGCATGCAAGTCTTTTCTTCGATAGTTATACAGAGCAAGTATCCAGTCCTGTGTCATGTTCAATCTCACAGTGTTATTCTGCCAAGGAGAACAGCTCCTTAATCAGAAGAGACTAGATTAGGGAGAGTGATAAGGTAATAGAAATTGAAAAGCAGTATTTTAATCTTAAACTAAAATTTAGTATTATTTAAGGGAAAAAAATTATCATATTTCCCCTCTATATTCTAGCAGAGTGATTATAGTGTACTTAATTTGCATAAAATGTACTAATAAGTTGGAAGTGGTGGCACAGCCCTGTAGTCCCAGCAATTGGGAGGCTAAGGCAGGGGAATTGTGAGTGTGAGGGCAGCCTGGGCTACATAGGGAGATCCTACCTCAAAAACACACACACACACACACAAAGACAAAAAATCCAAACCGAAAGAAAACAAATGTGCTTTAGTAAATCTGTTTTTTTTCTTAAGTGAATTTTACTAAAATTTGATGAAATAAGTTAATTTATTTTAAGACCAACTGTAAATATGGAGCTGTTCTGATGTCTGCATTTTCTTAATGAAACCTAGACTAGTTATCCAAGGTTTTTTTTATGTTTTTCTAAGTAAAACATCCCAAGTATATTTGAAAATTTAGCTTAAAATATTTCTCACTTTTTCTTGATTTATATTTTGATATTATGTTTCAAGGCATAGTTAAAATGTTATTTTAATAGGTTGTACTGTTGATCTGAAATTGTGTTGGTTTTATTCTTTCTTTATTCATACCTCATCCATCCAACAGGTACTCACTGAGTGTCCCTCAGAGCCAGGCACTACATGGGGCTCCAAGTTCAGGCTACCACCCTAAGGAAACTCATGTTCTTTATTCTACTTAGGTTGTTTATAACATAAGCAATGTATGTTATTGAAAACTGTACAAATAAAGAAAATCAAAGGATGTTTAAAACTGCTCTGTACTCCCACCAATAGAAGTAATTCCTATTAATCAATTTAGTGTTTTTCCTTTCAGACTTTGTGCATATAAGTAATTTAAATTCCAAACAAGTTGAATAGATTGAAACTGTTGTTTGAGAAAACATACCTTAATTTGAATCTTTTAATTCTTATCTTTCTAATGTGAAAAATAATAATATAACTTGATACTAATTTAGTTTTTGTTTTGTTTTGTTTTCTTTGGTGGTACTTAGGTTTGAAGTCAGGACTTTGCACTTCATAGGCAGGCACTCTAGTGCTTGAGCCATGCCTCCATCCCCCTAATTTACTTTTTAAAAATCAGATTTTGTTTGTATAAAGGGTTCAGCTTTTACTAATACGATTTTCCTTTTTTGACTTCCATTTATCTCATAATACCTATATTTCACTTCTTTTTCTTCTCTGATATTTTAGGTCCTGTGCTTAAAAATGTTGCTTTGTGGTACTTCGAGCTACTTAAACATATTTTATGCATATGGACGGTGTAAATAAAACTAGATTTGTATCTGTGAATTTTAAAAATTATTTTAATTGATGTAAAATAATGTCACCTAAAATTACCAGTATAACCACTTTTTTAAAAGACTAGATAATTCCTTGGGCTATTTTTAGTAAGAATTTCCCTTCTTAAAGTCTTTTGATTGCTAGCCCTATAGCATGAAAGAAATGTACCCGACTTACAGGAGTTTATCTGCATTTGTTCCCTAGCAATATGTCAATATTTAATCAACATTTTCTAATATTTGATCACTCAAAACTTTTTTAACATGTCTTATCGCTTTCACTGTTGTTCATTTTCTGAACATTTGATTAGGAAGCGTGAAACAGAGTAGAAAACAATTTTTATTAAAAATCCAACAATTTTAATTCTATTTTCTCTAGTTTGTTAATTAAATTACCAAGAACTATCTTTTGAATAAATTCTAGCATCTTCTGCACAGCTTTAGGTACTTTGAAAATATCCTTTTATTAAAATTTTTGCTAAACTAGCATTTGACTTTCTCTCCCCATTATTATTGTCTTACAACCTGGTTTTTTTCTCATCCTTTAGAGTTCATGAATGTTGACATCACAAAAGTTCTGAAACTCATTGTTGAGATTTTAAGAAGTGTCCCTTCTAGGTACTTGTTTGGAAACTCTGAAGAACTAATTTATATTTCACCACTAATGTACATGTGTTTTCTTTTTCACTTAGATATTGTACATCAATTACAAACTTCCTGGTTATGGGAGGATTCCAGCTTCTTGCTAAGCCTGCCATGTAAGCAAGTACATACTTTCCAGTTATCCTTCTCACAGTCAAAGATCATGTGTGTTTTGAGTTGTCTAGGGGAAGCTTTGACTTCCCCTATGTACACCATGCAAGCACTGTATCACTGAGCTACATCCCCAACCCTCAACTTGGTCATTTTACCCAGTGAATTAAAATGTAGATTTTCATTAACTCTTATAAAGGACAGGTACTTTTTGTCCATGATTGTTATTAGAAGTAGTAGGATATTGAAAAAACACTGAAATAAAAGGTGCAAGATCTTGGTTCTTTAATAATGCCATTTATTATCACTGAAACTTTGGATAACTTTCTTTACCCCAGTAAGCCTAACTTTTTTCCATCTTAAAAAAATTTGTTCTCTCCTCTGTTGTTGAGGAATGAATAATGTCTATAGTGGTTACACCAAAGTATGTGTTGCACAGATATAAAGCATTTGCATTTAGCTTTTGTATAAATAATATAGAAACCCTGAACTGTATAGTTTCTCAGTAAGTGTTGGTTTGGCAGTAAAGGCAAGTTTAAAAAAAAAAAAAAAAAAAAAAACCTGTATTTTAGCCAGGTACCCATGACTCATGCCTATAATCCTAGCTAGTTGGAAGGCTGAGATTGAGAGGATCATGGTTTGAGACCAGCCCAAGCAAATAGTTCATGAGACCCCCATCTCCAAAAGTAACCAGAGGATAAAAATGTACTGAAGTTGTGTACTGAAGTAGAGTGCCTGCTTTGCAAATATGAAGCCCTGAGTTCAAACCCCAGTTCCACCAAAAAAAAAAATTGATATTTTAATAGAAAATATTTCACATTTTCACATATGTATTCATAATCAAGATTTATCTTATCAGATGTTAATGCTTTTTTTTTTTCCTTTGGCAGTACTAAGGTTTGAACTCAGAGCCTCATGCTTACAGACAGGTGCTCTACCACTTGAGCCATTCCCGTCTTTTATTCTAATAGAAAGACTATTAACACTGTTATCTTGTTTCCAGTTTTAAAGGAAATATTTTAATTTTTCACCATTAAAGATGATTACCTTGGGTTTTTCATATAACTCGTATACACAGTTAAAACACTACTAAAAGTTGAAGTCCTCTTCAAGTGGATTTTTATAATGTTGAATATCTTTGAATTTCCAAGGTAAATTCGGTGGTTATTACGTATTAGTTTTTAAATACATTTGTGAATTCAACTTGATAATATTTTAAGACTTTTCAGCTATGTGAAGATGAGCTTTTCCTTATAGTCTGAACTTAGCCAATTTTGATAGAAGAATTATACTAGCAATTATAAAGTGAGTTGAGGAGCTTTCTCTCTTTTCTGTTTTCTGCAATAGTTTGTATGAGAAAGAGACTGTCCACATTTTGAAGATTTGGTAGACTTTATCTGTAAAAAATATATGGCCTTCATGGAGACATTTCCTATAAGAAGTTTTTAAACTATGAATTTCATTTCTTTAATGAATAGGTCTGCTCAGGTCTTTATTTCTTATGGCTCTTTAGTCGTTTGTTTTTGTTTTCAGTTTTTTTTTTTTTTTTATACAGGGTATCACTGTGTAGCCCAGACTGGCCTGGAACTCATGATCCTTATTCTCCATACCCAGCTGTTTTCAAATTTATTGACATAATTTTCTTGCATTATCTTTAGATGTTTTCATCTTTCTAGTAGCTAACTGTTTAATTGTTCTCCCTAGTTTTCATTGCTAACATTATTTATTTGGACCTTTTATCTTTTTAATCATTCTTTTTGTGGTTCTGGACCTTATACTTGCTAGACAAGCACTATACCACTTAAGTCACTCTACCAACATTATCTTTAACTTTTGTTTCTTTTTTTGTTTGTTTTAAATCTTGATCAGTCTTTTTTTTCCTCTATTATTATTATTATTATATTATTGTTCATTGTGACATTTACAAAAGTGCTTGCAATATGCACTTTTAAAATTTATCCCCCCCATCATTGGTCAGTCTTTTTTGTTTGTTTGTTTGTTTGTTTGTTTCCGAGATAGTTTTGCTGTTTACAGGCTAGCTTGGAACTTGCTATGTAATTCAGGCTGAACATAAACTCGAAATTCTTCTGGTTTAGCCTCCTGAGTGCTAGAATTATAGGCATGTACCACCATGCCCAGCTTGATGGCCTTCACAATTTTTTGGATTTTTTTTTTTTTTGTGCTACTGGGGGGTTGAACTCAGTGCCTCCTGTTTACTAGGCAGCCTCTCTACCACTTGAGCCACATCCCAACCAGGCTTTCACATTTTTAATGGCAAGTTCAAGCATGTTACCTTTAACTATAAACAGTAACTTCAAAATCCTTGATCTTGCTCTTTTGTCTAGAATTAATGACACTTTTTCATTCTTTCACTTCCAGCCTTTCTCCATTGTTTTCTAATGTTTTTGTATATTTCTTTTTAAAAAATTTTATTTATTTTTTATTCATATGTGCATACAGTGTTTGGGTCATTTCTCCCCCCCCCCACCTCCCTTACCCTACCCCGCATCCTCCCTCTCCCTCCCACACCCCCTCGATACCTGCAGAAACTTTTGCCCTTATCTCTAATTT